TATTTATCCTGACGTGTTCCCCAATGACGCTTGCCCCGCAAGTGGGGACGTGTGCACGCTGGCGCACATGCTCTGGGAGTGCAAGACAATGTACACTAACCCCAACACTACATCGGTCAGGTGGGAGGCCGCCCCACGCAGCTCCCTCCAGGCCGACCAACTTTGGGCCGTCCAGCAGGCCCGCGGAGCAGCCGATAGGCTTGGCCTAACGGTCCCGACGTGGGAGTCGCCCGCTGCGCGCTGACGCGCGCCTTGCAGGACCACAATAAAGTTTCGCAACCAACCAACTTGTCGACCGGCCATGAATCGCTATCTCCTTGGCTGGCAGTCGATGACACCGAAAGCGAACGTGTTTTCCTTCGCTGTCGCCTGATGGTGCTGTAGGCAACCGCCGCAGAGTGCAGGCCACGTGCTTGCGTGTTCTCTGTAACAGTGGACTGACCTGTACAGGTGCCCTGAAAGTAATCCGGAACGACGGACACGCAGCCGCTCGCTGGCGAAGCGAGCGCACCGGCAGATAAATAGAGGCAAGGTCTGCGCATGCAGACCTTGCCTCTATTTGGATGGAACGCACTATGGAGGGAGACCTTTGTCTCCCTATAGTGAGTCCAGATTGGCGTTGTATTGGTCCAAAATGGTGTTCTTGGGCGATTCGACAACGAGGGCTTGACGGATGACGGTCTTTAGCATGCCGCGCTCCGTAGTTCCTACAAATGAAAACTAGTCTATTCCTAATTAAAACTTGCAGCTGGACGAGATGGTTCATATTTCAAGGTAAACTGGTGTGCGTAAATAAGGACAAGAACACAAAAAAGATGGGACAGAGAAGTAGCGCTCCTCGCGGCGTGCACTTCCGATTATCTGCATCCATTCTGGGAGAAGACTACGCACGATTAAGGCAGCATGACTACAACGGCATCGCTGTCTTCTTTAACCGCGTTAGTCTGTTTTTGCCAAGTACTTGTTCTTGCTTTAATTATCTCGCGATCCGGATATCTACTAGCTTGGTTATATGAGGACAATATGTACTACCTTACAGGTGTACTTGCGATATCTAAAAAAAATTCATCAAATTAGTAAGCTCCGCACTATTCCAGTTTTTTTTATTATTATTCCCACACCACGTATCGCGTGGTTCGCATACCTTAGAGTACAAATCGATTGCAGAATCTGGACGCTTGGTAACGAGTTTTTTTTTTTTTTTGATTAAGATCGCGTGTCATCGTTTGTTGCCACAGACCTTCATTTTCTTTTCCTCATAAGTAGAATACAATGGGAGTTAGTGATACTCTCTCTGCAATATATCATAGCAGAGATATATTTATAACAAGAACATTGTCTTTTCATACAAAACAAAGAATCTAAATGCTACTGTGCTTGATCTATATGCTCATGGTTGCATCAAACGAAAACGCCCCACTTTGCCAGTGCTGGAGGCAGTTGCCTCCGGTAACTATTCTGATGAAATGACGAATACGAATCCAGTCATGGAGAAAGAAATATTTTCCCAAGGTAACAAAAAAAAACCAGGCCTTCGTGGAAGGCGCAACACACTCAAAGCGAAAGCTATAAGAACGGCCTTTCAGAGCCTCTTCTAAACACTCATTGGGTTACTGCTGCAAGTACACTTCCTGTGTACACACTGCGGCAACAACAATAATAATTTCTGGGTAGTAGGCCGGCATTCGCTATGCTATCCTTCGTCGTTCTTCTGAGAAGTGTGATATCCGCTAAACACTTGCAAGGAATTTTGTGCCAATTGTTCGTGCAGTGGCTGACGACGATGAAGAATAAGGCCTGAAGTGGGTCAATATATGAACAAGAACAAACCTTGGTAATGAGTTTGAGCATTGGACGGCCCACTCGTTGCGCTATTCGCAATGTGCGATGACTGGTTGTTCTTTCGCTGTTTTAAAACGCGATTGCTTTCCCGACATCAAGTCTGCCAAAGGCAAGTTTGCCAACAAGTCGCAAGCTCCGGCGTAGCTCAGTGGTAGATTACTTGGCTGGCCCCCAGGGGACCCTGGACCAATCTCATTTGTACGATGCTTTTTTTTGTCTAATTTCGCGCGACAGTGGTTACGGACACCATAGAGTTTCCTAAAATTGACTAGAGGGGACTCTGTCGCTGCGATCGCTCAGCGCCATGGGAATAATGGGTAGTACACACATTTGCCTAGTCTTCGTACTTGCAGGCGCCGAATCGCACTTGCGGCTTCGTTTATTGCTGTGTTTCAGTTTTGTTTTGAAAGAAAGATTCAACCCTTTTCAACTTCGTGACCCGATTTGGAAAAGTAAGTCTAAAAAAATAAGGTTTGGAAGTGCAACCGCTGAACATTTGCCGATTTCTGTTTTGTAAGAAAACAGCTCCAAGCCACACGAACACACACGGAGCCAAAAGCAGGCCAGAAGTACGAAGGTTAGACAAATGTGTGTACTACCCACCATTCCCATGCTCGCTGAAGCGCCGTGCGTTGTAGTTCCCATAGACACTAGCGCCAGAGTTCCCTCTATAGTGTATATTAAGAAACTCTATGACGGACACCTGCAGCGGACAACTATAAAGCGGCGCGCGTGACCCGAGTTCTGCTCTCATACCAGCTTTTACTACAAAAAATACATCCACGGAGTGAATGCACGTACCAAGAAAAACACCGGCGCACTCAAACACACACGCACGAAGATGATGTGATGTCTTCCGAGTGCACAAGCTGTGATGCCGCACGTGGCCGGAGCCTGCGCGCTGATGGCTCGTTCCCCCAGTCTCGTGGATTGTCGTACGCCGCGTGCGGCGTCGCACGTCGGATCGGATGCCGAATCGCAACATTAGACCAGCGTTTGAGACGCCATTGCCCGCTTCCCGTGACGAGAACCTGGACTTCGGTTAGTTCAGGTTATGGGGACATGCATACATAGTGACGAGCTACTCGGTATAGATAGCTCGGCCGTGACGTGATGGTCACAGATAGCGTCGTGCTTCGACAACGTGGCGGCCTTGACAACGTAGAGGCATCATAATTGAATCGCGCTTGGACTGCTTCAAAAAAAAATTAAGGATGTTACCCGCATTTTATTGGCCTCTGTCTGTCAATAACGAAAGAACTTCGGCTCATTATATCACTTGCTATAATGATAAAATTATTGCATAACGTAAAAGAACTTTTCGTGTGGCATGCAGTTCACCAACATGGTGCTTCCAGAGACGTCAGTGCGAGCCATTTATTATTTGCTTACGGTGTGCAGCGCATATCTCATTTTTAAAGAGCCAGTCGAGAAGGCTACAGTCGGAAATTTGTGACAAAAAAAAGTAACTGCCCATTTTTCCGACCACAATACCATAGGCGTGTGCACAGGAGGGAGGGGCGCTAAGTCAGCCCCGTACATTGACGTGGTAGGGAAAGGGAGTGACGCTGCGCCCAACCTACGCCCAACACTTGCCCCTCCTGCAGGGGTACCCTACGTACGCTTATGCATGGCGAACATCCTTTCTGCAAGAAAGAGCACCACAGTGGCTGCACCCGATTTTCATGCTGCATGACGAAAGAGATGGAAAATTGCAGTTTTCTCGGACACGGAATGAAATCGTAGCATGCGAAGTTGACAATACACGTAAAGATTGATTGATTGATTGATTGATTGATATGTGGGGTTTTAACGTCCCAAAACCACTATATGATTATGAGAGACGCCGTAGTGAAGGGCTCCGGAAATTCAGACCACCTGGGGTTCTTTAACGTGCACCCAAATCTGAGCACACGGGCCTACAACATTTCCGCCTCCATCGGAAATGCAGCCGCCGCAGCCGGGATTCGAACCCGCGCTCTGCGGGTCAGCAGCCGAGAATACACGTAAAGATAAGACTATCCACTGGTGATAGTGAGAAGACCGTTGACTTTACATAACTAAACACTACCGCGCCAGGCCTTCGTGCGAACATCGCGGCCAGCTGACTTGTCGCGGGATCTTCCCGTCTGACGTAACACAGTGGTCACGTCTTCCGTGCGCAGGGTGCCACAAGTTTCGGCATCGGCCATGAAATTCAGTGTTCGAACATCTCAATAAGTAAGCAACTTATCCAATTTCTTTCGCCAGTCATACTACCCACGTGACCAGCCGATATAGTGCTTTGAAAATGTACATTCCCACAATTACAATTGTTATATTCTTTTTGCGGCACACAGTTCACAACTGATTGATTCATATGTGGAGTTTAACGTCCCGAAACCATCATATGATTATGAGAGACGCCGTAGTGGAGGGCTCCGGAAATTTTGATCACCTGGGCAGTTGATATTTGGAATAATCTTCACAGTACGTGCACAGTTCCTTGTAACCAGTCTTGCAAAGTTTCAAGCGTGGGGCAGCAGTATATGGGCAATAAATTTTCGCGAGAATGGGTATGCCAGCAAGTGCGACATCTGAACAATTTGTTCATCAATTCAGCAATAATAATACCAAATACTCTTTTTATGCATTTTAATCCTACCGCAGCCTTGGAAAATACTACCGCTTTGATGTAGAACTTGCATGTGACGATGCCAGGAGCATGACTGTCACAGCATTTCGTAAAGGCTTGTATTGTCTAAAAACCATGTCTCCACATATATACATGCATTTGTCAAATTACACGCCACTCCACGTCACGCAATCCAGGAGCCTGCTATTGGAAATGTGCATGCATTAAAATGTCTTTCAGAGCACTCGTTGTCCAATACCACGAAAAATCCAACGTTTATTGCAATTCTCACAATTTCGCATGTACTGAAAATTATTCGAGTTGCATTTTCCACTTGAAATACAAGCGGTTGAGTGTCGTTTTGTTCAATGTGGTCTCCCCATCCCGGATGGATTGCTGTGTTCTGGGCCTTAGTGACTTGCGCGTAGGTATGCTAATGCTAATCACCTTCCAAGAGGAGGGCTGGTACACCAAGTGTTTAAGTAAGCTCCAATGACACTTTTTTTGCTTTCGACAGAAATATCTCATGTGAACCCAAAACGAGTCAGCGGTAGTGACGATGTGCTGAAGACGCAGAGGTGTCTTCCATTTCTTGCCGCAGGTTAAGGCGAGCTAAGGTTGACTGTATTTGTTCTAAAACCACCTCCGTTGTTTTTCCGGTAATCTTCTTTACCTCCTCCACGAGTCGAGAGCTCGACTTCACTTTCTTCAAAGCATCAGCGCTTTCCTCATCGCTGACACCAGCGCCTAAAACCACATATTGGGCTGCCTTGTTCATCAGACGAACGTTCCTCCGTAGGAGCGCAATAATTTCGCGCATTCCCCAGCAGTTATCGCATTTACCGAAAACGTTCAGTTAGATCAGGCTGTGGTTAGTCCTGAGACCTTTAAGAATGGTTTGTATCTCTTGGGGCGACATTTCCCAGTAATTGTACACGTTAACGACATTCAGTGTGTCGTTTGCTGCTAGCAACTCTGAGAGAGACCTAGCCATTTCTGGCGTCACCATCACTGCCGACGTGGTGAACTGCACAACGGAAGAGTTCTTCTTTAAGGCATCGAGGATGCTGACGAGGTGACGCTCTTGACCACGACTTACAGTCACATCATCCCAGATACGACGAAGTAATGCTCTACGACACGCGGAGTGTGTGCTGTCTTTATCGAATCTGTCTTCAAGTGCGTCGATCACAGCTTTGTCTGATTCGATGCTGAGACGACGAAGTGTAGTGTCTGTAGCCAAGGCATCTGTAAACTCCCCGAGAACTCTCTTGTCGACCGAAGAAGTGACACTGACGAACAGCGAGGGACAGCATGCTTCTCTGCGGATGAGTATTGCGAGTTCCGGTAAAAGCTGCTCGGGCCACGCTATGTCGAGTCTTTTGAACACGCCAGCATACCACTTCTGCGACATCAGCCAGCACACTTGGTCCTTTTCCAGCGGGCGGACTTGACTGAGGTTCACCGATTCCAACGCCGAGTTGGTAGCGAGCATTTTCGCGAAGATGATTAAGGTGTCTGATGATAACTCCACGTCGCCCAATGAGAAGGTCGTCAGCGTGTCGTTTGCCACTAGCGCTTTCGCGAGAGCAGCGGCACCTTCGTCGCCGCCACTCGAGTCCCAGATGACTAGGTCCCTCAACGACTTGTTCTGGCGGATGTAGTCCGCAACATCTTTCGCGAATCTTGTTCCAGGATTTTCGCAGCTCCAGGATTTTGTTCCAGGATTTTCGCAACGTGGGCAGACTTCTAAACGCCCCGGAGAGACTCGTGCCCAAGTCATTTCCTTCGCAGTCAACGTGAACGTAAACTTTTTCAAGAGATGCGCCGCCCAGAGGTTCGTAGAAAGCAACCTTGAACGCGACAAGTGAGATGTTCAATACATACAGCGTCCTGACCGGTGGTCCTGTGCTCAACATTTCCCGAAGCACCACAGCTTCCTTCTTTGTGATCTTCTTGTACCTCAGCTTAGCTCCGTGTGTATAGCACATGCTTTTCAGACAGGCCGGTTTACACGATTTGTGCATTTGTCGGAAACCTTTCATGAAAAGGGCGTTGACTTGATCATCCATGATTCCAAGCACCAAATCCAAATCGACTAGGCAACAATGCATTTCTTTGCACTTTTTTTCCATGTTCGTGCTAGTGGGACAGCGAGCGATACGAAGCGTTCTTGACCTGTGAGATCACCGTCGTGGTCAGCAGAGGATGCACTTCCTGAGGGAGGCCCACTGCTTTGCGTTCCAGGCTCGATGAGACCTAAAAGTGACCAAAGAAATCAAATTTCCACATGAAACGTACCTGACTCACAAAAACATATCGTAGCATATAACAGAGTTTAAAGGTACCGACACAAAATTTAGCAGTTAAGAGAGCCAGCGGAGTCAGTTCTTGTGAACACGAGAATATAAACGGCGAATATGGTTTGTGGAGGTAGTTGACGAGAATCTGCAAGCTCGCGTGCGCAATTTTATGCTATACGACAAACTTTGCCATCCTGACGTCATCTAAGCTTACGCCCTTCTTCCGAGACGTCACCACTGCATCGAAGCTGGCCAAGAGCAGGCGCAGCAACCATGGGCGTCGGCGCGGGGTGCAAAAAGGGCCCTTGCCCCCCTTCCCCTCAAGCTACACGAGTCCTTGCACCCCGCCCAAGCTGTGACAGTGCTCTTCCCCTTCCCTCACCACAATGCAACACCGGTTTGCACACCCCAAGATGAAATCCTGCTGACGACCATGGCAGCAACTAGATTGATGACGGCATGGTGATTTTGCCGCGCATGCTCGTGGATTCAGCGGCTGCTCGTGAGCCCGGTGGCAACAGTGATCATGCAGGAAGTGTTGAAAGCTCAAGAAGCTCGTTCCTATCAAACAACGATGATGAGAGTCGCCCCCTACGATGTCGCAACACACGCGACAGGCTGCCAAACGCCAGGAGGTCACGCAGGCATCGCGGAATGGCGTCACAGTACGGAGTGCCATTTCACAATCTAAAACGTGTTGGTTAGCTTGTGGCGCGGATACTAAAGATTTTCGTAATAGAGCCGAAATCGTCTTCCTAGGCGACACGCATGCCCACATGCCTTACCTTCACGAATGTTCAGACACCAAGATGAACTCATTGATATATCCCTACGAGAAACATATTCATCAGATAGTTAAAACGGAGCCTAAATGTGATATTCAAGGCACGTGGTAAGTCAGAAAACAGCAATAGGGTATCGTTCATTGCCTCATGACGGAAATATTTTATCACAAACAGTGAAAAACGACAATAAGCGAGGAAAAGATTACAAGCTTGTGTAAGGATCATAAACGCATAACATTGCACATGGAATATAAAACACTAAATAAGTTGATAAAATCACTTTGGCAGCTGATATTTGAATGACAAACAATTAAAAAACATAGCCGTAAGAGTCCAGGAAGGTGCAGAAAAAATACAGGGCAAAATACTGGGAGTATAGCGAGCAGTTACATTTAATGGAGAAAGAGATAAAGTAAGATACGAACACTATTCGCTGGAAAGTAAAGAGGAAGCCGAAAAGTTGGTGCTACAAATAAATCAAGAAACAATCGAGGTTGAAGCATCATGAAAACATAAAAGAGCAAAAAAGGAGAGGAGGCCACAGGACAAACTATGAAAAGTGCGTGTTGAGGAAAAAGCCTATTGTACTGGTGGTCCTGACCGGTGGTCTCGAAGCAAAAGTTAAAAGTGAAAATGAACTCTGCATGTCAGATTCGGCAAGAAGATGGCCTCACCTAGGATATTTTCGAGCCACATAAAGGCGTTAGGTCGGAAGCCTGTAACAATTCAGCAGAGCATTGTCGATTAAAGAGGAAACCGACTGGAAGGGTACAAAGTGCTGTAGGTTACATATGAAATGTAACAGCCTAGTCGTTTAAAAATATCGTTCACGAGATTTCGCGGGCGAGTAAAAATATGGCGGAGACCGCAACCGAGGAAGAAAACTTGAGAATTTTGAACTGGAAAAAGGCTGGAGGATAAATTTTGAAGCGCACTGAGCCGGTTTTAGATGGGGTTTCCACCGGCCTCAAGAACGAACTAGAACATGACACTAAGGAAGCGCTGTTGAAAGTCCTAGAGAAATGCTTCCAGGACCGGCAAAGACTGCATAAATGGTGAATAAATAGAATGAACCTAATCTGTACCAGCAAGGAAGAAAAAATATTCGATTCACATGTATAGACCACTATCCCATGTAATACATCGCTGCTATAAAGTTTGGCGATGTCGGCATTAAAAATAATAATAGAAACATGGCAGAACACAGCGATATTACGGGAGAACTTCACGATGAATTTCGAGTTGACAGAAGGTTAGGCGATAACCTGTTTGTCCTCAGTCAGTGTATAGAAATATGAAAAAAAACAGGTCCTTGTACGTGGCTTTTCAGACGTCACTGGTGCGTAGGAGAATTTAATAAGGAAATTCTGGGGGATATATTGCAAGAAACGGGCATAGCCACAATTTGCAAACAATTTGTATCTAAGCAAAGTGTTTGCATCAAAGCACACGTAGGTTTTTTTTTTCTTATTTATTTCTCTAACCTTGCGCGTTCGAAAATTTTGTTGTTTCCTTCCTGGCCACCGCCTCTTTAGTGGAATGCCTATAAGCAAAAATAGGCTGCTCCATTGAGAACCAGTCGTCGGCCCAGACAGCACATCCACGCCTTACAGCACTCGAGAACAAAAGCCACTGAAAGCTCCACGAAAGCTTAAAACCAGAGAGGGGAACTCTTTCATTTGATTTTTCAAGGGCAACAGTGTGAGCGCGGAATGATACTTTTGCTGTAAAAATAAAGGGAAATAAAAAAAATCTGCATAGAAGTGAAATAGAATGACTAAGGAAGTTTAAATCCACTCTTATACACTATATATGCGTCGTGCAAGGCTTTGGAAAGGTGAAAGTTTATCAGCAAGGTAGAAGACTTGTGAAACCCAAAACTCGAGCTCACCAGAACAAGCAAACTCGGAGAAAGGACACCCGCGATTTCCACAGCAATCACTTAGAGGTATGTTGAAATATTGGGAAAAACTTACCACAAGTGTTGATATTATTTCAAGTGGACTTTCATGTTCCTGTCATCGAAGGAAGTGGTGAGAGGGCACGCTTGACCCTGAAGGCCGTTTTATTCGAACAGCCGTCTTGCATATAGAAGGTACAAACTGGAGAAGAGAGAAAAGGCGGCCGAGTTGGTACGTAACTCAAAAGTTGAAAAATGAAAACAGCGCGAACACAAGACGAACGATTGCGGCACAAGGATGGCCGCTGACAGCCAACTGAAAGTTTTACTGAAGAAACCGAGAAAGATACACGATAGAATGATATGAGACAAGATTACAGCTTTAGTCACGTGTATGACGTCAAAGAGTCAATTTCCTTCCCGAACAAATTAGGCAGCGGAATGCTGACACATCGATCACTGTCCCTTCTGGTAGATTAGCAAAAGGCCTCGAATATCTCCCGCGACAATAGCGTTCTAGGAGGATAACGTCAGACAGACTGGGGATGCACCCATGCCTGGTACAATGTGTGGCTATATTGCTAACGACATGAGTTATCGAAGCCTCTCGTTCTCGCACCACCCAGTCTCTCTCACGTGCACCCTGCCATGGTTGCATGTGAGAATATGGGATTTCATATACGACCGATCATCGCACTCTCGATAAAAGGCTTGCCGTGTTTCTTCGAACAGCTCGCTCTATATAGACGTGCGTCCCCTTCGTTGACGTGGTGGCACATTGATTGATATTAGATCTTTAACGTCCCGAAGCCAACCCTTATGATTATGAGAGATGCCGTAGTGGAGGACTCCGGAAAGCTCCACCACCTGGCGTTCTTTAACGTGCATCCAAATTTGAGCACATGGGCCTAGATCATTTTCGCCTCCATCGGAAATGCAGCAGCCACAGCCGGGATTCGAGCCCGCAACCTGCGGGTCAGCAGCCGAGTACCTTAGCCACTAGACCACTGCGGCGGGGTGCGGTGGCACTTGTCGGTTATTACTTTTTACTGCTAAGCATTATTGCTTTACTCGCTTAGTATCATGCGCCTAAGTTTTGCGAAATCTACTCTCCACTATACTGCAGCGGCTCGACGCCGGGCGTGTTGTCGTTGTTGCCAGAGTCGCGGTTGGTGATCGTCCAATTACACGCGTTTCGGGCATCAAAATGGTGGCTACACGAATGAGATGAACTTTCGCCGTCCTATTTCTACAGCCGCAGAGTTGGGGGAGCACCCCTTAGCCGTCCTATTGCGAGCCATTTTGGTTTCCGATTGGATCTTGGCTTGACGCCGTTTATTTCGAGCAGCTGCAGCAAGTTATGTAAAATGGCTGCACATATATTCCTATTTACAGAGCAGATTTTCAGTGATAAATAATATTTTTGATATATCACTCTTGTTACAAGCAAGCTTTGATAGATTCTTCATTTCTTTAAAAGAAACGGCTCGCGAAGACGGAGGTCATGCTTATAATTTTGAAATGTTATTTCCTATAGTTGTGTGACAGCAGGCAGGTAAAATTACATGTTTACGTTGTGTCATTCGTTTTAAGTAATGGTAGGCTTGGCGTATGACAGCGGCATTACTCAAATTTAGTCTACGAAAACAGTACTTCAAAGTGGGCTGTTTCCCATTGAATTGTTGGCAGAACTGTTCCCAAAGTAACATTGACTGAGGTTTTACGTTGCAAAACCACGATACGATGAAGGAAGTTTCGACCACCTGGGGTTCTGTAATGTCTACCTAGCCTTATT